GAGCTTTTTGCTTCCAATGGCCGCCTTCGCAATGCATTGAAGACTGCCTTTCCACAGATGAAACTGGTTGAAGTGGTGAATATTTGGGGTGCCCACATTCAAACGACAAAGAAGAATGTGGGGCTATTTCCTCCTGCTAAGCTCCAAAATGCGCTGCGAGACTGTGAAGCAATTAGAGCCCTTCCTTGTGGCAGTTACCAGTTACAAGCGCGCTCAGATTCTGGCTACTAAAGCGTTGCCCCAGATTGCTTTTGCTCCGCAATTGAACTTTCTGCCAAAACGCAAGCTTGCCAGGCTACAGAGAGCAATTGCTGATGCACTGTGGCAAGGCAGGCCCAATTGGCGTTCTAAGCATTTGCTTCTTTGTATTGCGCATAAAGCTCATAAGTTGGAACCCTTCTTGCGCCGAGCTGTCACAACGATTGTTGAATCTGTCCGTTTCCTCAAAGCATCCGCCTATGCCAGACAGAGTTGGCAACAATTATACGTGCAGGACAAGCTTACACCGATGAATCAATTTTCCCAGGCCTGCATATTTCTGGGTATTGAATGGTCTTCAGCCTTTGAAATTGCAGCCTTCGATTCAGCTGCCGTCAATACGCTGGACTTTTCTGTGTCGGACCTCAAGGGCCTCCTCAAGAGTTTAGCTGCACACAAATGCTTGTTACGGCGTGCCATATGCCGAGAAAAGACATTCAACCACCCTCTGGGTTTGTTGACCTCACCTTGACACTGTCAGCGAAAGCACGCATTGCTCGGGCGCCAAACCCTGGGTTTTCCTTTCTTTTCCATTGGGAAAGTGCTATTACAGGCTGTACAGTGACAGCTGACCGACTTGCGGCCGCTGGCCTCGCCGCCAGTGCTCAATGTCGGTTTTGCGCTGCTGAAAAAGAGTCCACGCATCACTTCTTGCCGAAAGTCCCAACTTGCCAGTTGATCTTCAGCAGCCCTCGTCGGCCTTTTACTTTGGGCCAAACTTTGCGATGCTTGGTTTGGTGGAAACTCCTCTTGCTGACATCAAAGCGAAGTTGCAAGTTTCGTCCACAGCTGACATCCATGTACAGCCATGGGCTGCGCCGCTTAGGCCTGTTGTCCATCTTTGGACTGATGGGTCAGTCCACTTAACCACGCATCCATGGTTAACTTTGGCATCCTATGCAGTAGTTGCTGATGATGAGACCTTGCTTTCCGTTGGTCGTGTTTTTCATTGGGGACTATCAAGCTATACTGCTGAATTGTGGGCTATCTTGGTCCTTGGTGGCATTTGCTACCTCAAGTCAACCGATCATCATCCATACGCATTCACTCACAATAGTGAAGCAATTTGCGACTCTGCTGGAACGTGACCAAGTCCAACGGGAGTGGGCCCATGCCAACTGGTGGGGTTTCTTGTTGACTTTGCTGCAGCAAAGGCGTGGATACTTTGTGGCCCCTCTTCGTCTTCAATGGTGCCCTGCCCATTTGCTGGAACATGTAGAGAGCCAAGCCCTCACAGATGAAGCAGCAACGCTTGCTGGCTCCAATAAGCAAGATATCATGTTAAACCGCTTTGCTGACAAGTTGGTTAAAGCTTGCTGATTTGGCCAGGTCCATCAAAGCGGACCTCCAAGTTAGGCACAATGATATTTTCGCTCGCCAACTCTGGCTGTCAAAGATCTATCGGATTTGTAAAAAGCCTGACAAACCTGTCGATCCAAAACCACGACCGGAGCCTGAACTCGAGGCCAATGTTACTCCGCAGCAACTTTGTCCAAGATGGCCGTGGGACAGTGACATTGCTTCCTACACCTGGCAAGTTCAGCTTGATGAGGACATGCCCTTTGGAGGAAAGCTCGATCTTTCCTGTGAAAATTTCAGGACCTTTCTGAAATTTTGCAACACTTTGCAATGGAAACTTGGAGACCGGCTGGCTTGCTCTCCGTTTGAACTTGCTGCTTTGGCCTTCTTGAAGGGATTGCGCTTTCAGTTGCCTGTTGGGACTTTGGCCACGCCACAAGCCTATGCTGCCACACTTCGCTCTGGCTTTGCTCATTGTAAAAAGAAGCAAATAGTGGTGGCCCCGCTCCACTTGGACAAGCGCAATAAGAATAATGGGAAAACGTTTCCCAAAGGTGCCTTTCTTGGTGCTGAAGTCTACTTGGAAGTGCCCGTGCTCGAAGCCATATGCTGGGCCTTCCAAAAGGGTGCAAAGGCCACCCCGTCTTCATGGAACATGCCCTTTGAGGCACTTTTGTAGATCTTCATGGTTGCTTGACCTTCGATGGGGAGGCTCGTTGGTTGCCGTTGACCTTGTCGTGCCGGCATGAGAGCAAAAAAAGAAAGCTCCACCCGGCCCGCCTGACGCGGGGGAGCTTCCTTGAAGAAGCGTGAGCTATCCTGCGTTCTACCTAGAAGCTAACTTTGCCTAGTAGCGAACTACCTCCTTACTTAATTAAGTAGGAAGGTCGGCACAAAAAAATTGGTGTGGGAGAGGAATGCTTTGCAAAATCCATCGCTTCCCGTACACACTTCCCGTCGAGTCGGTCCAAGGCTTGGCTTTGGTGTTGGTCTCCCCCGTCACGGCCCGTCACCTGTTAGTCTCTACATCCGAGCATCCACATAAGACTCATGCGTGGTGCGATTTGGAGGACATGGTGGCGCAAAGCCATGTGGAGGCGAGGGCCACTTATAGGTCTGGTAAGAGCCTCATGGGTACGGGACTTCGAAAGAGGAGTCCAGTCAGCCGAAACACTTAAGTAGTAAACTTCGCACAGGTCCATAGTCCCCGGAATGCAAACAAAATGGCGTCTAAGCACGTGTAAGAACTTGCTGAAGGGTAAAACTGTTGATTTTAACCCCCCTCCTACAAGACCAGCTGAGGATGAAAGCGCAGGGGAATCTGTCGCTGCCATATTCCACTTCATGTTTGAAGAGGCCGCAATCAGGACCTGAACACCTTTCCTCCTTTCCTCTGCAAAGCGGGTAAGGAGTTGGAACACCGCCTTGCACTGGAGAACTGATCAGAGCAATCCCCTCACCTGTGCAATGTGGATCAAAACATAAAGGAGCATCATCTTTGTTTCCAACAATGGTCCTACTTTCTCTGTCAATCCAGTTGCTGCTTGTTCCTGTCGCCCTAAGCGCATGTCACGGCATGGATTCATGTGCGCTTTCCCCGTGTGCCCAACGGTGTCATTCCGAAGACTCATGATGCTGGCTGCGGTGGTTGGGGGGGTCTTTGATTGTCCAGGTGCTCTGAAATTTAGTAATATATCTAGGAGCAAGAAGCTACTAGTAGCAAAGGGCATCGCTACTAGGAGCAAGGACGCAACTACGGGCTCCTGGCCTTACTTACTACGGTAGGAGCAAGAAGCTACTAAATATACAATATGCTAATGTGAGAACTGTGAGAACTCAAATAATGTGTGGACATGACTCAGCAAAGAGCCTAGAACAGGATGGTTCTGATACATACCCGCCATTTCCGCTTCCAAAAATATCGAGGAGCTTTTGTGTTCGATGGACTCCTCCGAGATGACTGAATCTTGACTGTGAACAAGTGTCTGTGGCATCCTGAGCCGGAAGTTGGGAATCTCACTGGAGAGAGCATTCACACAAAACGCAAACATGAAGGCTCATGGAGGACATTGAATACATTGGATATCATTGGACTCTCATTAGTATGGGCCTCCAAAAGCTCCGATATCCCTGCAACAAACACACAAACAACATAATGGAGTGACGGCAACTTATAATTGGGTCACAAGGACAAGCTCCAAAAAAACGCCAACATCAAACACACCAAACTCAGAACATCGACTGTTCCGCATTTCTGCTCAGCATCAGGGCAGAAAAGTCGTGTCGTTCCTTGGAGCTCGAGGCGTTCCTTGCATCGCAGCGGTTTGGGCGATGCCGGACGGGTTCCTGGCTGCTTGAGCTGCTTGAAGCCGTGCGGAGCAACTTCAGGTGGTGGCCTTACTGCCGGTGGCAGGGGAAAACCGGGAAAGCCGGGCACCTATGACACTATCAACCTCTTGACTACCATAATCTATTTACTCCGCCAGTTGACGTTCACTACTCAAACCCTAAAAAAATCTAGGAACCAAATCATTAGTGCGAGCGCTTCCTTGAAGAAGCGTGAGCTATCCTGCGTCCAGTTACTAGCTAGCTACCTAGCTACTAGCTACCTAGCTACCTCTAGCGGCCTACCCCCGGGCCAAAAACACATTGGAGTAATGCCCTTTGTTACTAGTAGCGTCCTTGTTACTACTAGTAAGGCACTTGTTACTAGAAGCGATGCACCTGTTCCTGGTAGCTTCTTGTTCCTAGTTGAATGACGGCCAATCTGAAGTGTGCCGAAGATCGGCTCGTCCGGTGCGACGTCACTGGACAAACATCCACATTTTCTTTTAATGCCTGTTTGACGGGGCTGGCGTTCTATCTTTCAGTCCGTGCGGGAAAGGGGGTAGCAAGTTGTCTTCCACGATAATTTTTTAGTTGGCAGTGCCGGAATTGCGGAGGAAAAGACACCCCTTTGGAGGAATCATGCAAAAACCAAGAGATAGAATGCCTCATCCCTGAAAATTAATGAACTTTAGGTGGTACGCATTCCAACCGGCCGCCATTTTCGGCATTCTTAGCACCCACGTTGCAAATGAGTAATCAGCATTCTATCTACTTTCAGAAATATACAGAACGAGAGAGAGAGAGAGAGATTTAAAACCATTTCTCCTTTTAGTCCTAGCCACGGTCCACCAGTTTCTGAAGGTCCTGCGTCGGGGCCACACGTGCCGTGCACCGGGCGTTGCCGACGGAGGCTGAGGCGCCGCATCCCATGATGCAAAAACAAAAATGTATATAACCTGCTCGGATCCCTTGGATCTGAGTGATTTGAGCATGAAACTTTTTAGGGACAAGCGTGCTGCATCTGCTCGCTCTGCTCGCGCTCGCTGGAGATCTGCCAAGCTGGCGAAACGTGTGCTCGGTCCGTGTTTTGGCGCAGAGCTTTCGGCTCTCCCCGCCTTGCAGGTCTCAATGAGCAGTTGAAGCTCGGAGGCTTGGAATCGCTTGTCCATGTAGGGGATCCCCACCTGCGGTGTGGGAGAACGTCCCAACAAAAGGCATCACAGTGAGTCTCTGCAGTATGAGGACTGAAAGTCACAGTCTGTGGCCTGTGGTGTTCGGGAGAATAGAATCCCAACTGCAGCCGAGGTGAATCAAGGAATTTGGGTGGACCCGATCACTTTATCACCAAAGCCTCTGTTTGATTCATGGCGACATGCCAGCTTTTTGTGTCAACCCCGGACCTTCTATCAACTCCTGTGAACCAATACTCCTATTATATATGTCTTTCTTCGAAGGGAATGTCCAAGGTTCAATTGGTTAAAGATGGTTAAAGTACAGAAATTGATCCAGGTTCTACCCGCACGCACCCCACATGCCCAACCGATGCCTCTATATATATATAGCACACATCTGGAGCCCACCAAAAGCAGAGGATAATCGTCATCGTCTTTTGAAATGCAAAGGCTGCTCTCATTCATACGAGAAAAGAAAGCACGCAAACAAGAGCTGAGCCTATCTCAATATGGAGTTCATCAGATGCCCAACTCTGACCGGCTTCCACCCCAGGAAAAATTGAGCCGAGAGGTTACCGGCCTCTCAAGGCCGCATCCTAGAAAACTCTAAGTCAAAGCTCCTCTCGCTTCACACAACACTCGGGTGGTACAAAGTAGGGCGCCTCCAGCACCGTCATCCCGGCGCGTGTGAGGGCCCTTGCCAAGGAGACCTGGAAAAAGCATGGAGGGAACGCTCATGGGCTCATACGTGTTGGTTATTGTTTCCTTTTTTCTGTTTGTTTTTTTAGCCCGCTCCTACTGAATTAAGGAAGGAAAAACGCTCCTAGCTACTTAAGCTACTACCTACCGGACACAGGATAGCTCAAGCTCGCACTATTGATTTGGTTCTGAGATTTTAGGAAAACTTAACATGGCTTAGCTGATCATCCCAGTGACCCCTGTGCTTCAAGTCACCTTCGAAACTCGGCCATTCAGAGAGAGCATCCAGGAAACTCCCTCCGAATGCTGGTCGCGAGGCCGACAAGACACAGCCTTCGCCAGCATTTAGAGCTGCTCAGATAGATTTGGAAAAAGACACTGCGGCCCGACCAAGAGTACAGTAAACTCTTTGGATAATGGAGTCAGCAACACCCGGATTCTCATGAGATACGTGCTACGTAGCGCATCTTGTCAATCAGCAGCTAGACAAATGTTCAAGATCTTGACACCTCAAGCAAATGAAGACATCTATGGCCTATGGTGAATGGTTGTCATCTGCGCAGGTTCTGGCCAGGCCCAACCCCCCCCTACCATGCAGGATGTTTCTGGGGAAAGCCACAGCTCGCATCTAAGCAAACATCTTCAGGTTGTCGGAGATGTGCTGACAGTCCTAAGAATGAGGCCGGTCAATTGACAACGAATTAGCCCTATAAGTGAATCCCCCACCTCCAAAAAGCCATGGCCCAGTCGAATCGAAGGATGCCTCAAGCAGGTTGTCTCCCATGAAGAAAATCGTCTTGTCCTGCGTGCAAATGAAGATGTTGGACGAGATCACGAGTTTTGGTCCTCACCATCCTCGGTGAGAGCATTGATTTGGGGATACTTGATATATTGGATACACAAAAAATCACAAAATCTCTTTGGCTGTGCTTCTTTTGGGTGCTCCTCTGGTCCGGTTGGAGAGGATGGGCAGATCGGTGGGGCAAGGCTAGAACGAAGTGATCCCAGCTAGCTGGGTCTCTGAGTCTTGAGGCTAGTCACTTAGCTTCAGACCTCTAATCTCGTCTTTAGTCTTTTGTCTGTGTTCAGGTGTTGTTTGTTACCCAAGTTTTGCGGTCTCAGAGACCGAACTCAGAAATGAGAAAAGTGCGAAACTGAAAAGACGGGATGTATTGAAAAAAACTATTTTGTGTGAAGGTTGGCCCTGGGTTGGGGGTTGAATGAGATGCATGATTTCTTACAAGGAGGATCTTGGTTTGTGTGTTTGAAGCGCTTTTTTGAAGCTTGGAAATTCATTCAAAATGTGAAACCAAAACTGGCATGCTGGAGATGCAAGACTACTACATGCTGATGTACAAATACTTGAAAAATATGCCGGCAAGCCGCAACAAACAAAACAAAACAAACACACAATTCCTCGGCCCACACCGGTCGTTCTCCGGGGGAGCCTCGATCCCACGATGGCAAAGCGATGAGATTCGACTCAAGGCCTTGAGGATCTCCGTGTACTCCTTGGCCGCCTGCCAGGCCTGGGGACCCGCTGAGCATGATACTATCGAGCAATGCGATCCAGGATGCTCGGTAGGGAGGCAGCATCGGGGGCAGAACCAAAAACCCTTCAAAGATACAAAACTGGAGAGAGAAAAAGACATGCCATGTGGTTGAGTTGAGCTGATGCGAAAAACCTGGGAAAAAGATCAGGTCAACTGCCCAATGGAGATTGCTTTACTTCTCAAACAGACTCCCCACCAGTAAAGTTCCTCAAGGTCTGCAAGGTACGAGTACCTGCTGACTCATGCATTGACCCCTGCTTAGAGCTTGATAGAGCTGGACCCAAATCCAGTGGAGCTTCAGCTCCCCAAAAAGTTCCAGGTTGATCGGTTGATCCTAATGTTGGCGCCCAGGTTGTGAGTGATGGACAAGTTTGATCCGGAACTGAAGTGCGATGGCTATAGCTCCCAACAGCAAGTTCCTGCTTCGCATGGTTTGGACTCGCACGGCACGGGACAAGCATCTCTGGCTTTAGCTTGCCCCCAATCCCCCAAGTCTGACTGATCAAGAAGCCACTCAGTGGGTCCCTCGGACGAAGCCCAAGCCGAGTTGGGTATGTGGCCCGAGATGACTTATGACTGAAGTAGAATCCCAACTGCGCTGAGGTGCTGCCCGCTCGCGCTCCTCCAAGCCTGGAAACGTGAAGGCACAAAAAAGGTCTCAAAAGCTGAAAACTGATGTTCGGACGTTCTGGCCCTGACAAGTGCCCAACCACTGTGAGGTGCACAACCTTGTGAAAGAAAAGATTTAATGAAAGAGTTGTCAACCAAAGCCTGGCACTGGGATCATCTACCGGTCCTACAAGCCATGAAGACTATATTGGGGCGCAATCGAGGAATCGAGCCATTCCTGGCCTTCCAAGTGTATAGATCATCATAATCACTATGCTCAAGCTGTGGCACACACGGATGCATCAAATGGTAAGGAAGCTTTGGAAGCTTGTAGAATTGGTTGGATGCTCGTCGCAGTTGTGTCTTGGAACCGAGCGATCATATTGTCGAGCCCTTGGGACCCTTGGGGTCAGGAACGTCCTGTTCAAACAAACTCTCCTACTGTGGTCATGTACAATCCGTTTTAACTTCAATATTCCAACCCATATCTTGTTTACACTATCCCCTGAAGAACGAACGGAATCTTCCCTCCCTCTCAGTTGCCATCGCCTCTATACCTACCCCATCCAAGCATCGAGCGCTTGGTGCCTTGTGGCTCAATGTCCAAGCTCTGGCAGATGGCCTCGACCCATGCACGCGTGCCGTCAGGACCTCAGACCGCACGGGACCGCAAAACAGAAAAAATTGGGTGGCCACGAGATCTGAAAGTTCCTCAATCACCCAAAAGCGAAAACATCCTGCGATCTGAAAGAGTGAGCAGGATTTTTAAAAAAAGGAAACTCCACAAAGAAACGCATGAACCTCCTAGGCCTGACGAGAGGCGCTAGTTGGGGCAGTTTTCCCTTGCCCTAACCACGATTGCAGGATTGCCAATGCTAACGGCTTTGGGAATGCAAATATGATACACCCAAGGTTGCCACGGTTTTGATCTCTCAAAGCATCCGATACGGCATTCAGCGTTCCTTACATGATTTTGAAGAACCACTGCCATGTCGCTCACAGTCTGACCGTCCCTGTGTTATCCCTCCATGGAAAGAGTGCGCTTGAAATTTCTTGCTAGTTTGTGCACTCCACGCAAGTCCAACAAGGGGGTGGCACGCAGGATGCACATGTGTTTGGTTGGTCAAACCAAAACTTCTGGGTGTCTGGTGCGCCACTGCATAGGGACCTTCATTTCATGTTGATATTGGCATGTTGGACGTCTTTGGGGTCCGAAGCACCTGCACAAGGCCTTCACAAACTCCAAAGGACAGGTCGTTGTACGAGCACTAGTCCTGTTACTGGATGCGCACCAATGTCTGAATAATCCCGAGTGCCTATTTAAAAACACTCCCATGTTGAAAAGCACCGTGTCGGAAGCCCTAAATACGGCTTATTTGTCTTTTAAGTTGCCGCCCTTTAAAGCCGCTACCATGGTCGATGTTGGTGCATTCTTTACATTAGGTTCCAAAAACAACCCAAACTGCCAACCTCTGTCCACCCTGTCTATCCACCATGACACACCGCGTTTGCACCAGCAGGTTTCCTTCCCCAATGGCACGGACTCACGCAAGCGCACTTGTCACCGAGGTCGTGCAAAACCGCATGGCACAGCGACATCACCTTTCGAAATCTTTAGTTGTTAGTCCAATGAAGAATCACGATTTTAATAAAGGTGTTTGTAAGAGGAAAAGGAAAACCCTTCGATCTGGAGGTTTTTTTTCAATGTTTGATACGAGTTTAATAAAGGATTCTATAGAATATTTTCCTGGGTGACTTTTTGGTGTTCAAGCTCTTCGCAGGTTTCTGTACGAAATCTGCACTTCAAGCTTCACAAAGCGCTGGGCCTGCCAGGGAATCTGCATTTCATTTGTAGTTAATCAATGATTCAAGGATCCTCCCACTGACCCTATTTTGGACAACCCCAATTTCAGGGACCCCCCATTTAAAAAGATGCACCCGAGTTTTTGTTAATAGGGGGGGCGTGTTTTTTTCAATAGGTGGAAGGGATTACTGTGATCGGTCGGGGATTGAATGCCAGCCAACTCAGGGTTCAAAGATCAGATCAGATCCGATTGTAAGTTCACTTCCCCTTAATTGGTCGCTTTCTTGGATGTCAAGCATGGAAACCTTGCCAGCGGAAAAGGCCATTTGCACAAATGCCCCAATGAGAGTCCACACCAATCGGAAATGGCGCATTGATCAGCTTGCCTCACGTGTTCCCGCTGAGATCTCGCTCCCAAAAACCACCGAAAGACCGCCCAGGGTGGGAGGGATCTGAAAATTGTTCGCTGTTGGCCACTAAAATACCCACTGAAACCAACTTGTGGCCAAAAACAAGACATGGCGCCAACAATCGAAGCTGGTCTTTCCAAGCATAAAGAGATCTGTTGGTGTCTATAGTATTTTGGGCCAGTGTGTGGTGGGGAGTTCAGAGCTCACTCTGGAGAGCATAGAGTTTGAATTTGAAACACGTCCGTCAAGATTCGTTCTGCGCTGAAATGCTGCAAAAGTTGAAAGAGCCTCTGGTTCAAGCACAAGAGAAGGTGGGAGGTTGCAACAAGCATCTTGGTACAAGTTAGCACCCAGAATAAGCAACTATTTGTGTGGGATCGTCCCATTCCGCAACCCTACGTACAAGGGTCAAAGTTAGGAAGTGCGTCTCGTTGCCAGGCTCTCGTACACTCACCAACCAGCCCTTTGAGGATCCTAGACAGGCTTGTGACTGTATACTCCGAAATCATGAGTCGCGTAGGCGTTGTCTATTGATCTTCGGTATGAGCTTCCATGCAGCCTGTTGTGGATGGTCACACGTCTCGCCCCCCGCAACGATTACTTTTATGTGCGCGAAGCGCGGCCGCTCCCCAGTGGAGAGACCACCAGCTCTCTGAGACGTGTCTGGAACAATCAAAACGAGAAAAACATCGTTGCCATTCTTGAAGACTTCTTGTATGAGGTTTTCCGACCCCTGTAAGTGCTGATTGCTCATATCAAAGTCTCAAAACAAAACGAAACCCTGACCTTAAACCCACAAACAACTCTTTAGACTCTAGACCGATATATATATATATATAGTATTATATATCCACCACGCTGGGGAACCAGCACTTTTTGCGCCGCACCAGCACCGAGGCAGTTCGAGAGAGGAACCTCAGGGACTTCTCGCGTCAAGAGAACACGGTTTCCTTTAAATGTGGACTTCTCTCTCGAAAAAAATAAGGAACCCTCAGTCAATGAATGATGTGTTCCTTTGCCTTCAAGAGAATCGCCGCTGAGATGCCCACGGGTTCACTCCCACCACATGCACATTAGGGCCGACCTCAGGCAGATCTTGGTACCTCTGTCAAAGCAGGAAGCTTCGGTTAGGCGGCTACCAGTAGGCACAGAATGCACAGTACAGTACAGCAAATAACCCACAAGATTCACAAGACCAAACCCTTGCACCAAATCATCAGACTGCACTGAAAGTGCTGGGCACTTGCTGGATGGCATCCACCCGCTGACGGTGATGCCTTGCTTCTTCAGCTCCAACTCCTCACGGCGAAACTCCAACAGATCAACAGTTTAGAAAAGCACTACTTCATGGGAGATGGTGATTTAACACTACCTCGCAAACATGTTGAGCTGTGACGCTTGCATGAACTCAAGGGCTCCCTGCACAGCCCAAGGTGCCTGCAAGTGCAACTCTCCAAATCTAGCCCAGATCGTATTAAGTCATTGGGACCTTGTGGTACCCACAGGGTACTACGACAGCAAACAATTCTCCTGTCGATGCATGAAAAGAATGTTCCCCCAAACTGAATAGAATCGCGTGGGGCCGTGTGGGGAGGCTTTTGTCACCCATGGTCGTCTGCCTTCTTCGAAAGGATCACCTGTGTCAATGACACCAACCGGCAGTATCACTTTGCCCCATCATTCACACCGACACTCAACCACGTACCAGCTGCTTGGCCACTGTATCCGGCAGGGACCCGAAGATCACCAAGGGCGCCTGGGCGCCAAGTGAGGTTGACCTGGTGGTGACCAATGGGGGTGATGAGCGAATGGCTTCTCATGGAACGAGAGCCTGTGATGCTGCTGAAAGTGTGGAGAAACCCATGAAAAAATCACAAGTCCTTCTGCTGAATCAGGCTGCCTTCATTGGTTGATTCCCACATGGGCCACCCCACATGAGACTTTGCCCCTGGCAAAGCCGCCGGGACTGTTGGCACATGATCAGCTACTTCGCAACGTGCTGCCATGGCAGCCAGCACGGTGTCCTGGCCATCTATGGTTGGTCGTTGTCGTGAGTTGTGAGTTGAACACAAAATATACTGTATCTGTCTGTTCTATACGTCTATCAATCTACAGGGCACCATTCAACCAATTTCCTTCCTCTGAAGGCACAAAGTAACCAAACTGCAAGGAGAAAAAGCAATGCAATTTCCCATTAAGATAGACTGATAGAACTGGCGTTTGAACTGCTCAAGGCCACACCAACACACGAAAGTGGAAAGATTGCTGATGTTGAGATATTTTGGAAGACCGAAGCCACTCCACTCCATCCGTCAGGTGCCTCTCCCTGCGTGAAAGCATAGTCCAAGCCTGAAGGCTCCAAAGATGAAGGCTGATGTGAAACCTGGATTTTGGAGTCGTGATACACAGCACCAAACGTGCAAAAGAGACGTGTCTTCTCCCGTCAACGAGACCCACCGGCGGTGATTCGCCTCCTGTGGGCCAGGGGCCTTCATATGGATCACGCCCCCCAAAACCACTGGCAATGAGACAATTGTCGACATATAAATAAATAAATAAATAAATAAGTTAATAGACTGGACTTATAATATAGACCGAAGTCCAGCTACAAGTGACTCGGACAGAGTGGTTTGGCTCAAAAAGTGGAGGAGATCCCAGGTCACCTGACAAAGCTTCCTTTCTTTCAGCAAGGGACAAGCAGCCCACAGATTGTTCCAACAAAAAGCTTGTGATCTTGTCAGATTTCATTGGCCAGGCTGATCATTAAGTCTTCGGTTCAGTCCACGAGTCCCTGTGGATTTCTTGAATGCCTCCGAATCCATCCTTCGGCGAAAAAAAAGGACACTGCCGACCGAGGCGACCAAGCCGGACTACTAGACTACCGACCGGCGGAAACAGCTCCCATCATCCACCGATTCCAAGCAAGCCATACCAAGCCACCATTGGCACGGGCCACCACAATTGGAACCCCAAGCTCCGCCTCGTGGGGGTTCATCTTCAAAAAACGAAGGACAGGATCCCAATGGGGAATCCAGTTCGGAATGAGGGGGGATATTTGGAAATTGGTGTGTGGAAAGTATGGAACTCTATGTGATGGGATGGCTCAAAAGAATTTCTTATGTCGGTGGCATTGGGAGACAAATGCCCAAAGCCCTCCCCAAAGTAGTCTTTTGCAAGTACCTTCCAAGGTGGATCGAGTGCTGGTATCACGGTTTTGGGAGTTCTGACTCACACCATCGTGGTACAGGATTGGGTCCAGTTCAACACGACTTGGTCCATCAGTTGAAGTCCAAATTGAGTGCACTTCATGAATCTTCATGTCCCAAACATGTGGCCAAGGATAACAATAAGCTACTAGTAACGAAGGGCATCGCTACTAGGAGCCCGGACGCTACTAGTAGCTCCTGGCATTACTACTAGGAACAAGAAGCTACTGAGCTACTAGTTTTCTTTTTTCATAGAGGGGATTCACTCGAACATCTTCAAAGTCGGATCCGACTGGGCAGTCCTCCAGCTTCGGCGCGATGCCCTCCATGTCCATCTTGATGATCTCCGTCCTGAGAGTCCACAGAACCCACGTGGGCCCAAAAAGCAAAATAGCATCATGTAGCCGCCAAACCTCCAGGACGTCATGATCATCATGAGCCCACCCTTCGTTCAGGAAGACCATGTCAAAGGACCAGGGTTCACTGTTCCCACGGTCTTCAACTGAGGTCCCGCGCGTACAAGTGCCGATCAAAACAATCACCGAGGGATTGCGATCCTCGATGATCCCTGCGACGACACCAAGGAGACCTGGGGGGCACCTGCTGATGGAGTTCATGAGCCTTACATGGAGTTTCATGGGATTGTAGCCACTTTCCTCTGGGCTATCTTGACCTTTGGAGACTATCTCGTACAAGTTGAACTCGAGCAGCTCTTCTGCAAAATCAGAACTTGTTGATTAAGGCGGCAAGTGGGTTTCACCAAAATCAAGCCACCCCTGGTGGTAAAGGCCAGTCAAGTTGGCTGCGGTATTCAAAATGCATATATATATATGTATATATTTGCTGCATATACCTGGTTGAAAGGTCATTCCAATGGCAAGCGCCAAGGCTTTCAGCAGCAATGCTATGTAGTTGGAGGCACGGTGATAATAGGGCCCTGCGTTTTGTGCGTTTTTGGCCCTCGACACTACATATAACTTGTGATGCTGCGGTGGTGTTCATGTTACATGGGGGGTGGGGTTGGGGTGGGATAATGACGTTGATGTTGCATGTGGGGTGGGGTTGGGGGGGGATAATGACGTTGATGTTAAATGAGGGTTACGGTGATGTTGAGGTTACATGAGGGTTACGATGTTGATGTTGCATGAGGGTTATGCTGATGTTGACATTACATGGGGGTCACCATGATGTTGATGTTACATGAGTGTTTCTCTGATGTTGACATGACATGGGGGTCACCGTGATGTTGATGTTACATGAGTGTTTCTCTGATGTTGACATGACATGGGGGTCACCATAATCTTGATGTTACATGAGGGTTTCTCTGATGTTGACACTACATGGGGGTTACAATGATTCCTACCGGTAGTTACATGTGATCGTTCATGTCTGTTCATGCCGTGTATTTACGAGGTATGTGTTTGTTCCCGACATGGTATCTTATCCACTGCATTTTTTGGCTGAGAGGATGACGTTATCGGATGTTTCGACGGTTTCGTGTTTGGTTTTGTTGTTTCGTTTGCGTGGTGTTCGGCAACCACCGCCGCACAGAGATTTGGAGTGTTTGGGAACCCTCTTTCGTGCAACTACTTCAGCCGTCGAAACAAACAACCACGGAAACGGGGTAGAAATGCTGAGATTTGCAGTGTAAAATGCTGTTTGTCTCCCTAAAGCACAGGTACTTCACCTACTTTTCAAACACCAAGGCCTCAAAACACTGAAAAGGTTCACAAAAACGAGCTCACCAACGATACATAACTGTAACAACACTGAGGCCCTAATACCAACGTGTGACCATGTAGTTATACATATATATATATATATGGTTCGATTACATGAGCAGACCCTCTGTAGAGGCTGACAGCAAACACAACTGGCATATGGCATTCGGATTGAAGCTGTTCTCCTTTCCATGCTTATATTGCTATACCAGTAGTGACGAGTGAAGAGTGTGCTTCACACTTTGGGCGACACCCGTGAAGTGAAGAAGCAAAGCTCAGATTTGCAAGACCATGAACTCTTCTATCTAGGTTGGAGGCCATCGCTACTAGGTTGCGCTACCGTTCCAAGCACCCATTACATCGCGTTTCCCACCACCGGCACCACTACCATCGGCGCCCCACCAGTGCCCCACGAGTCCCGCCCAGCGCACGTGTGCAGAGCCGCCGCAGCTCGGCGAGGTCGCTGAGCTGTGCCGAGATGTCGCCCTCCTCGAGTTCGGCCATGGCATACCTGTGACGATGGCGAAACGGTGTCAGGAAAGTGAAAAGCAGGTGGGGGAAAGGAAACGGATGCTCCAAAAATGAGGTGGAAGACCCACACTCACTTGCGAACGGTCCAACGGTCCGCCCCTCAAAGCCCTTCCACCAATGTGGGGTGCTAGAGGGTAAACAGTAATGAACACCTGCGATGTGAATTGTAAATGCATACCACTATACAAAACATCAGTGCGAAGAGACAAACACTACTCACACTGTTGCACAATATGAATTATCCTCGAACACTCAGTCGTTGATCACGATGTCTGCTATTGAATGCTTGTTCCGCAAACACTTCTTGATACGCTGGTACAATCCATTGCGGTTCAGAAAAGGAATTTCGGGAAACTCGGGAATCAGAGGCATCGAATGTGGAATCTGCGCAAGTTCTAAGCGAACATGATGTGCGTTGGCTGAGAGGAATAATTTTTTATGATCTCAATGACTGCCACGGGATCTGGAAGTACAGGACGGGAGGAGATCCCCCCAACAAGACTCTTATGAAATCCCATTCTTACTAGCGAAGAAGCCCCATTCTTCTTATACTTCGGGAACAAGGGCTGCTGTAGTGTATTTTCAAGGTATCGCACTACAGCACGAAGCGTATTTGCTTGATGCCAGAGGCTTCGACTTTCGGGTTTCTGAATTTGCGCCTCTGTTGAAAGGAATGGATATGGTTTCGGAAGTTTTTCCCCTTTATGGTAGATCCAAACCGGCAAGGCAAAGCCTGTATCGAGCTGAAATGCAATAACAAGTTCATACCAAGAGGTGGAAGACCCCAAAACTATGACTTCCGCCTGCATGCCTTGCAGCACCTTAGTATCAATCTATGATCCCAAGGCAGTCCTATGGCAGAAGGGCACCAAGACACAACCCCTTAGTATCCCAACACCACCAAGAAGATCCACACAGACCTCATAAAAATAGATAGAAAAAGGTGAGTCCGATGAGTCCCTCTTCCAATTGTCTTGGAAAAGTTTTCCGTCCCAGTTCAAGATTCCTCCTTTATGTGCTCCTCTTTCCGCTCCTCTCGCGCGTCTGCACCCTTTAAAGTCTCCACCACTGCATGCTTCGCACACGTCTCCACCAGGCCTAGGCTCAGCAAAAATCATCACACCCATGGCATTCTGGAGGAAGTAGCCTGAGAGCTGATGTTCAACACCGGTGACTGCCTGGCAACCTGCAACCTCCACACCCCCTTGCTCAACATGGGCGGACATAGTAGAGCTTGAGACCCAAGTATTGGGTAAGGCCGTGTATATATCTCAACCTAACGCGGCAGGTATGGAGTAGGTCAGGTACTTCAAGGTGTCAAGAGAACAAGAAAACGGAGCCCGGCGTTCGGTCTGGATCCCACCAACATAGGAGAAATGAAGTCGAGTATATAAGTCAACATCCAAAAATCCCTACACATGGAAGCAAGGCCTCGTTTGTAGAAGGCCTGACAGGAAAAGGTCCAACAGGTGACCAAAAGTTCGCAGCCAGTAGGTGTACATACCCGGAAGAATGGTTTGTGTCACAGGCAAACCCTCCAAAACCTGAAGGGGACAATGAACCGCCAACTCGACACTTGGAGGTCCCTCATTCCAAAAAGACTCCAAAACCCCTTTGGCCAAAATGATGGAAGTTCATGTCTTGTGGGATGTTCGGATCATCTTGGGATCAGCCGCTGAGTGAGTTTTCAGGCTAAGAAGTCAAATCCAAAGGGGCCGATTTCACCACATACGACAAGTTTCTTTGGGGCCCCAGCCGCAGGTCTTGGTGCCAACCACCAAGAAGAAGGAGTCCTCAAGGTGAATTAAAGGACTGGGTATAGTGGCCTCGCCATATCTTAGATGGAAAAGCGTTGCAATATGCATGGTTTAAAGATATTTTAATTTTATCTATTTTGGGGTCACTGTTGTTAGTCGTCTCAGACCACCTACTTTTGGACCCTTCCCCATCCCAAAACAAGTGAAACACCCGGACTGTTGACTTTGATGCATCAAAATGAGTACATGACTTCGACCTGGGCGTGTACCTGCGTGAAACGTGCTATTCAACAAAGAGACGTACAGTTTACAGTCAAGCTTTATAGTCTGCTGCTTCCAAACAACTCATTCGATCCGCCCAAGTCCTCAATCTTCTGGTAAAGCCAGCTCACACAGCTAATCGGGCAGAAGGTGTGATAGTTGCCTCGTAAAAAGGCGACACGGACCCGTACAGGGACCATGACTGGGCGCTGCGACATGTACCATGCAGAGCCCAAGCCTGGCAAAACCTAGGTAAAAGGAAATCCTGAGTAATGTAGTGGGGTCGACCGTCAACCTGAGTAATGTAGTGGGGTCGACCGTCTAACCGTCACCAAATTGCAGAAAGGCCACAAGCCCAAGAACCAAGACTCAAAATTCCAAGTCCATGAACTCAAAAGGCCCAAGACTAAAGTTCCAGGTCCACTCAGAAGAGATTCTGCAGAAACCTGTATAGATTCCTGGGTGGTCACACGCACAAACAGAAAATTGACCTTGGATTTTTTGAATAATGAATAGTGAGGGGACCCTAGGTATCGGCGTTGTTTTGCATCGTCACTGATTCCGTGCTTCCTTCTGTGGCTCAGGCTAACAACTGTTTGCTTAGTCCAGAAGAAGGGGTCTTTTTGAGGAAGACCCATCCCATCCACCCGGCATCAAACACCTGTTTTGACCTATCACAAAGGGAATTGCTAGAGCTAGAGCTTGCTGGTCAAAAAAATGACTCGTCCCTAGTCCCAGCGTGGGTCATGCCTTTGCCCTTCACTCCTACAATGTGCCTTTCAAATGTGGCTTTATACAACACCAGGACAACTTTGCCCTTCTTGTTATTCTTATACTGCCAGCTAGATGGCTTCGGCCAGAAACTCAGGATTCCAAGAAGTCAAAGTGGTTCAATCGCCCAAATCTGCAGAACTGACACTGCCACGAGCAACACAGCCGCACCTGTCTCACAATCGAAGGTTAAGGCCTCAAGTTGGCCATAAGTGAAAGGGTATGAAGACCAGTTTGGATGGATGACATCATCACACTCGGCAAAGTAGGATTCCATCCAAACCCAACAAGGTACTGCCTTCCTTCGTTTTCCATTGAACCCAATGAAAGACTTCCACAGCTACCAACAGCAGCCCTTGACTGTCAACGCGTTTGCACAGGAGAATTGTCAAACCCAGGAGTCCATATGTTGTTCTTCAACATTGCAACATGAAGAAGATCTCACGAAGCAAACACTTTGGGAGATGTCTAGGACAATTTCAGGGACCCCTGCATCGCCCACAGCCTTCAGATCTCCTGGCGCTCGGTGCATTCACTTGAGCGATCCACGGCCATCCGGACTTCTGAGCGATCATGAACAGCAAAAACCATGCTATTCAAAGATCATCTCACCACTTTTTGACAGGAAGACCAACGACAAAAGGCTCCTTTCTCCAGGTTCATTCGCTCTTCTACCACTGCAGCAAGGTGGTAAGTAGTAACCATCTCCCATTTTGATGGTGGATCATTCCAAAGTGGGGCCTATTGACCTGCACCACCAATGGCCTCGTGCCAGGGGTCTCTTGGCCGCTTGCATCGCCTCAGCCATCCACGTGAAATGAAGGAGCTACGGCCACTACACTGGCTGTTGGTTATAGACGATCCCTTGGTTATAGACGTTGCCCCCCCCCCACTACACTGGCCTGACAAAAGTTGCGCTTCTTGAAGTTCAAACTCATGACAGCCCTTTTCACCCTGGAATCCTACAGCTGGAAAACCTCTCAAATTTCGATCCGTGTGATTCGGTGATAATGGACCGCCCTACACCTGCCACGAAAGTGGACTTGTCAGGTTGATCCACCGCTGACCCAACAGTGTCTTATGAAAACTGTTAACAAGCATAAACTTCTGTCTGACTGAAGTAAAGGGATTGAATCTCTATGTTTATATATATATTGATAAATATATATATATAACTGAATTGTGTAGACGACTTGTGATGTGGTGATGATGTCATGAGTGGTGAGGCATGTTGCGGCGTGATGCATGGTGATGTGCCTGCCATCTAGTGTGTCTCTATGTCACTGGTAATATGTTGTGCTTTGTTGTGTGGTGAAGTGCAATGTGATGATGTCATATGTAGCGACCAGTGAAAACACTGAGAGACCCAAGAGCCTTGCATCTGCACCCAGCAAAAAACTCATCCGCAGATTTTTCTCATTGAAACTCCTTTGATAGAGGTGAAAGTTGGGCATGTTACCGGCATGTTGGTTGGTGACCCGTGCAAAAAGGTCACCGTGCCACCACTGCCGGCATGCCAGATTGTCAGCTAACCTGACCCCGACCACCTGCACCAAGTCACGATTCCATGCCTGGCATATCGATGGTGAGCGAGGACGATAGATTCCATAAATCATGTTTGGCCACGTTGTGAAACCTTCACAATGCATGGATACAAAAGGTGCAACTTTTGTTCATTCAAACCCAGGTCCCGTGAGAACTCCTGGACACATTGAAAATGCACAAACTACTGCGTCCCGGCTGGTGCAGAACGCAATTGGTCACTTGGCAACGTTGGTCCAAGAATCATACAGGGATCTAGCACGATGTGTCGATCAATTCGACAGCGTGCTACAAAACATCCAACAATTTCCCTATGGTCCACGCCACTCGCCCGCCTCCCGAACCTTTGGGCACCAGAGGTCTGGGCCGTGCAATGTTGTGGTCGCCTCGGTGGACAAACATGTGGAGCACCAAACATGTCCACATGAGAAGGCAATAAAAGTCTAAGATATTTGGGAAGTCCAACCGCTTTGCCCCTTCAAGTGAGCAGCCAAGTAAACACTAGTCCCGAGTACCCATTAAAAAACGGACCCCAGCCAAAAAAAATGATGTCGGAACCCCCTAAATACGGCTTATGTTCGCTTTTGAGCTACCGCCCTTTAAAGCCGCTACTAAACTACCAACATGGCTGAGCTTGGAGGAGTTTTTCAAATTTGGTTCCAAAAACAACCGTAACTGCCCACCTGTATCCACCATGACACGCCGTGTTTACACCAGCAGGCTTTCCTTCCCCCAATGGCACGAACTCACGCAAACGCACTTTCCACCGAGGTCACGCAAAACCGCATGGCACAGCGACGTCACCTTTCGAAAGCTCTTGTTGTTAGTCTAATGAAGAATCACTATTCTAATAAAGGTATTTGTAGGGGAAAAGGAAGACCCTTCGATCTGGAGGTTTGTTGAATTTTTGATACGAGTTTAATCGATGATTTATATAATTTTCCCCTGGGTTACTTTTTGGTTTTGAAGCCCTTCTCAGGTGACCCTATTTTGGACCACCCCGATATCAGGGACCCCGTATTTAAAAAAATGCGACCGAGGTTTCCTTATTTGGGGGGGCCGCGTGTTTTTTAATGGGTGGACAGGATTAGGAATTCCGACAAAGCGCATTCTGAGACCGCCTCAAACGAGTCCTTCTCCGGGCATCAGCATCAATCAGCATCTGGTAGATCACTGCCCCCATCACTTATTATTATTTATCTATCACGGATCTTCACCTAAGATCAACCCACCAGTCTGCCCTCTTGAGCTCCAGCCTCCTGGGGCCGCCAGTTCCAAGGGCCATCGCAGCTCCAAGGGCTGCAGCCTGAGTTTGTGTAGTCCAAACAACTACCAGGTCCGTGTGCAACAGCACATGATCGTTCATTCCAACGTTTGAAGGGGTTCGTTTTGTATCTTTTTGATCTGCAGCTTTGGTCACTGGTGTCCTTTTGGATCATGTGGAGTTTCTGTTTTCAGGGGTTTGCAGATCGAATGTGGGTTGTGTCAGTGGACTCCGAAAGCGATGCGGAAAGGTGGTTGTTCTTGCTGCTGCTTTTGGACCTGCCCTAGATGGCATCATAATGTTTCGAAGCCTTTGCAGAGTATAGCAGCATTGGTTCTTATGGCTGTAGATCGTTTGTGGGGAGTAGTTTTGGTGGATTGCGCTCGCTGGCCATGCACTCTCTGTTTTGAAGGGTTTCGAAAGACCAGACATAGATGAGGTACAGTACTTCGCTTTGCAATGTGTTTGCCGAGTACAATTGCCTTGGTCATCGCAGGTGTTTTGATCCAATCTTGAGCCTGCGCGGTCGGGGATGTTGGAAGGGGCCCATTATTCTGTTTGAATTGAAATAAATGGGGCAATCCCACTTTAGAGACTATATGTTGAGCGGTGCGCTCCATGGTGGAGAGTTGTTTGTCGATTCTGAAAGTGACGTTAGACCGGGAAAGGGGGTTCGTTGTTGCGTTGTTTGGACTTTAAACGGTGTGTGTATATATAAAAACTCACGGTCGATTCTGTTCACAACGCTCCGCAGTTAATCACAAATAGAAATGGGAAAATACCGAGAATTTACAAGGTGGTCCTTCTCCAGACCTCAATCACTCTGGTTTGACCTGTCTAAGGTCTAAAGGAGCTCAGCTTTCCCAACTCTCGCCTAGCCAGAGAGAAGGGAAAACCCCCCTTGCCCACCTTGAAGCTTTTCGCCTAGCCGAAAACTTCAAGCTGGTGCCTTTTATCGAAAAAAGTTGCAAAGAAAGACCCCCCTTCCACGTGCCCCCTTTCCTGCGGCGCGCCCGCGAGCTCAAGTGTGGAGGTGCAGCTTGGTTATGAAAAACTCTGACGAAGGGCAACAAGGTTTTCTGGGAGAGTCTCACGTCGGCCAGTAGTGCCATGCTTTCTTTCAAATAGATTCGGGCAGTTTTGGCAGCCTGCCACCTTCCAGCTACCATCAACTTATCGAACGAAGCGTGTTTGCTGAACCAAAATGTCGCCCCCCCCCTACGTAACGAGTAGGGTCGAAACTCAAAGAGGGTCAGTTGCAACGCTTGCAGGCATTCCGAAAACAACCTACGCCATGCCGACACCGAAGGAACAAACAAGGCCTGCGGTTTCACGCTCTGCTTCCAGGCCCACAGCCAATGAAGGGCTACCGCGACTGTCAGTGTGACTGACTCGGATACTCCTACACGTTTACCACTCTTAGTCAGACCAAGACTGCGGACAGCAGGGGCAGTTTCTGCCTTCATGAAAACGTGGGAGCTCCTCAAGCTTGTCAGTTCACCTGTACGCAACATGCCGCAAAACCCCACTAGCAGTGAGACGCCGAACCCGACATGGCCATGAAAAAAGCTCCAGCCGACCATCGCCTCAAGCGCGGCTTCGGTAAGTGGGGGTGCCCTGTTCGGGACTTCATTGACGTTCCACGTCTTTAAAAGTCTCCATGTCAACTGAACTTGTCCCTTAAGCTTCGGGCCTGCGTCCTGCAGGCCAGCAACCGTATCGGCTGCAAGGCCACGGCCTTCTCCCTCGGACCACAGGTGTTCAATGTATTCGGCCAGGAGACTGTCAAAGCGCTCCCGTCGGCGGGGATCTCCAACGAATTTTCTCTGAGGAAATCATAAAATTTGGTGCGTGCGGCACAGTATCTATTGCTGGTTTTAGCGGAAACGGTGAGACTTCGAAGTTTAACTCTTTCCTTTGAGCTTGCCTTTGCTGTTTGGTCTGACCTTCTAGGAGCTTCCTACCTACTTTCCCCATCGGCGACGCACAGGCCGCCGGCTAGGCCGGTCGGCCGGATTCTGGGAAGTATGTATGTAACCCCAAAGGGGTGAAGGTCAGCCGCCAACAGCAACGCATTCAGCCTCATGAGGATCGGTCTCAACTTGCGACTCGAGCTCCGACCCCGAGTAAGAGCATGTAGGCACACCAAACTGTCCGTGAGGTGGAGAAAACGTACTCCCAACTTCATCTTGGACCTACTCACCTTCCATTTTATACCAGTAAAGATCGCACGCAACTCCAGGAGATTTATGTGCTCTCCCGCCATTTTCCATCTCCACCCCGAAATTTCCCGCCAATGCCGCGGCCAGGGACACTAGCACGGAGTCTAAAGTAGCGCGGAGCAGGGTCGCTCACTGTATGTACCAACAGGTCTTCACCCTTGCTTGAGGTCAGCCCCAAACACTTCGCCACCAAGCGTTCCTCTGCTCCAAGTTCTGCTGCTCCCAGCCGAATCAACATTGACGGAAAATCCCGAGCCTTGCCCGGAGTGATGGCGTCGACAACGTCTTGCAGTGACATCCGTGGGGCTACTCCCAGTTTTTGAGTAAGTTGTCCAATGAGCCAAGCTACTACCCCAACGTGCCAGCTATTACCCATCATCGACATGCGTGCATCCTCATAGGTCTGTCCCTGCTGCTCGGCCTTGACTACGCAATGTTTTGTATACTCGATGGGAAAACCCACGCACGCCTCTCTTTCTTGAGCTGATGGCCTCCGCCACTCACCTTTTTTGTTCCAGAGGCCATAGCTGTCTTTGTATTGATATGGCGGGAATCTATAAAAATCGTCATACCATCTCTGTAGCCCGTGTTCCGAGCACTGCTCAACTCCCGCGGGTCTCCGCCCAGGAGTATTCCGTGGCCTTGACGTGGTAAAAGTCGGCAAGTGACACCCCTCCTGCAAACTCCATCCTGGCAGCAAAAAAGGCTTACTATCAACATGGGCCTCTAGCTGTAGTTTGTCGTAGGCCTCCCAACCTCCTTCATCTCCCTTCTTCCAGGAGACGCCTGCCTCGGTGGTGCACTCCCATCTAGTCCAGGAGTCCAGTACAATCTCGGCCTAGCACATAGCAACATATCCTTGGCATCCACCCGCACGGCGGCCCCGCACCCACAATGATCAGGCCTACGTTGCTGTACTTCAGCGCCAGTGCCTTGATGTGGTCCTCACCAAACTCGCGAACATCTTCAAAGAATTCGGTATCCGGGAAAAAACTCTCAACCACTCTCCTACACTTGTCGTCCTTCTCAATGCTCACATGTCCCGCCATTGGCAGACCCAGGACATCACATGCTACTCTAAGTGCAGCAATCCCGTCAAATAGCCCCACGGACAATACCTGTATTAGGTCATGTTCCTCTGGAAGGTCACCTCGAGCCGGACAACTGATCACACTCATCCCATAACTTGTAAGTCCCTTCGAGGCGCAGAGACCACCTCCAAGGGTTGAGGCGTCTGAGCAAGTCACCTCTCCATCTACCGGCGAACGAAACTCCATTTGGGCAAGAGGGGTCAATAGGATAAACCTGGCGATCTCGACCTTGACCTGGTATGGCAAACCTAAACGAACAACCGGCGCTTCGCCCTCAAAACGCCTCATGCGCTCAAAGACCGCGTTGAGACTACCTAGCAACTGACGACGGAACATGGCCAGATAGACAAAGCCCTCACAGACCACCTGAAGTTCACGCAACGTGGGTTGCCCCCCAATTTGCAGTATTGGATCACCTTCTGTGGTTTGGGCATGGCGTATCCTGCCTCGCCATCCAGCAGAGCACCTTGCAACTCTCCCAGTGTCACTCTCTCCTCCGCCTTCTTGGGATGCCGAGGTAAGCCACGCTCAACATACATGTCACGCGCGGTCTCAACTTGTGGTTTCACCGTGCCCTTTATTTGCCCCGCCAAATTGGCATCCACCCGTTCCAGGGCATCAAAATTGTCCAAATATACCCGATACATGTCCGCAGCTGAGGTCATGGCTCGGTCCTTGCGTAGTTCACCTTCAGCACCCATCGGAGGCTTTCCTGACATGGCCGCCCATCGAACCACGTTGCGATGTACGCGCTGTGCTATGCTGACCGAGTTCAAAAAACCCATGGGCAACACGCGAGCGACCAGGACACAAGATTGCCCTTCGAACTCTTTCGGGACCAGGTCTGACGGTACAGCCTTGTTGAACCCCATGTACTTCTTCCGTGGCGTAGGAACAGAGAATAGGTAAAAGACGCACTTTATATCCTCTGACGATAGGAGGGCGACTTCCCCCGTCCCCAGGAGAAAACCACTAAGGCCTGAGACCGCAGGAAGGGTTCCCACGTCGCCTTGAAGTGGTTTGCATATCTGGTTGACTGGTACCAGATTCATGATAAGACGTTGTGTCTCAATGCCTGACTTGTATTCGCCCTTGCCTACCGCAAACATTCCGTTGAGCACTAACTCCGTTAATGTGGTGGAGTTGAGACACAGGCCACACTTCGCAAACCCTTTTTTCAATCAGTCCATTGCAGACATCATGCCATTCCCCTCAAAGTTGTCAACATAACCCTTTGTCCCCAAAATGCAAAATTCCGTGAGTGGCAAACTCCCTACACCTTCCGGAGCGATTCACTCACAGCTGCCCATGTTACACTCTGGGCGAGTTTCACCTCTTCCCCACAATAGTCAACCTTGCGCCTCAAGAAAAAATCACTAAACGACAACGAACAATCAGGAACCTCCCACATGCGATTGCGAACGATAAGCGCCGACAGTCTTTTCTCTCCAAGCGAGCGGACGCTGGTCTCTGGGGACGAATCCGGTGCTGCCATCTCGTCTGGCGATGGGTTCCAGTGAGCTCTCACATCCAGCCAAATGATTGAGCGCTCCCGAAGCGGAAACGGTGGGCAACGAGGCCCCTGGTTGAGCTCCGTGTTGGAGCGTCGTGAATGTAGATGCCCGTCCTTCCGCAACACCTCAACTGCCCGTTTGAAAATAGCAGCCATGGTAGAATCTTCCAACTCTTGACGTTCGCCAGGATTGGATAGCTCCTGCTTCGGCTCAGCGTCCCCTCCGGGAGAATTGAAAGCTGTAAGGTCCAACGGCTCACCATCATTCAGCGTCGCCGTCTTTCCTGAACTATTGAATTCAACACCAGCTCCATCTGTGCCATAGTTGGAGTTGGCTGCCGTCTTGCACCTGTCCACCTCATAGTTTCCAGGAGCCTCTACCAGGGGTGCTCCGACGCCCCCCCCGTGGACTCCCGTTCTTTCCCTGCTTGACGACTTTTTCTTGCCTTCCCCCTTCTCCTTTTTGTTCTTGTCGTGCTCGGTGGACTTGCCCTCTGCTTTGCCTCCTTTCCACTTTCCTTTCTCTCCTTTGTCCTTTCCTTTTGACCTCTCCTCCCAAGGCCTGTTCGTGGACTTCTGCAGCACCTTTGCCTCGTGATTGGCCGCCTGGCCAGCCATTTGCACCTCTGTCGACGATGCCAGATTTGCGCGCGGGTAGCAGTTCGAGTTGCCGAACAAGATCTGGCCTCATAGATTTGCTCAACCCCTCCAAGCTCTTGCATGAGCCTCTGGGTCATCACATCCATAGCGCTGGCCACTCGCCCCTCCAATAATAGGTCCAGGACGGCCGACCAATGCAATGCTCCCCGAGCTACCGGGGGCGCCATGCTCGGTGACAGTTCTGAGTCACCATCGGGCGTAGGCTTTGGCCTTCCGCCTCGTGCAGCCCCGCCCCAAGCTGCAGCATCATCACCTTCTGGGCTTCCAATATCATAGTCGAGGTTAGAACCCCGGGTATTTCCGCCATGTTCGCTGAGGTGCTGATGCCGGGGTGAATGGTTCCTCGCAATGGCCGTCCTCCACTGTTGAAGTCCCGCTGGAAGGCTGGAGTTGGAGTCTCACGAGCTCTTCCGGGCCCGAGCCTTGCGACCAAGGCGTTTTGCCTTCCTTCGCAGCGTCCGGCGCACATCCTCTCTGGGATCGAGGCCTGTCGTGCCAAGCAGGGCTTCGAGACTTTTGATCGGGGCCATGCGCTCTTTGGCCTTCTTCTTTTTCTTCTTGTCTGCAACCTCCTTTTCTTCTGGAGGCTCCCGATCCGCCTCCTCCGCGGCCATCCCAGGAGCCCCCGTCCCTGCACCAATGCCTTTGCCCCGCTCGGCCGCTTCTCGCCTGAGGATCGCCATCTCGTCTCTCTCTCTCTCTCTCTCTCTGCTTCTCGGACACTCACCTCCGCATTCCTGCTCCAGGCGTAGTCCTCGTATTGGCAGCGCTTGAGCCTCTGCGCATGCAACAAGCCCTCCTTCCACGTCAAGTGACTGCAGGGGTCGTCGCAAAGTAACTTCGAAGCCTTTCCCGACAGCAGCTTCAATAACTCCTCCGACGTCGTCCCGTGCGCCTTGATCGTCAGCATAATGCCTTCTTCCCCGACTGCCAGGGATTTCATCTCTCCAATCACCTCAGCGTTGCTGTCCCAATAGAGTCCCTGTATGTAGATCGCCGGCCAGGCGTTCAACTCCCGTATATTCACCTCTGAGGCCTTCTCCCAATCGCCATCGTCCGGGTCCATAGCTGCTGGCCGCACCCTCACCCGGACTCTCCTTGGCGCAGCTGCAGGCCTCCTCATTGCGCGTTTCGGCGCCATGTGGGATCACGGCGCTTGTTGGCGTAGAAGTCGATGTTCCTCCACGTCTTCTTGAGGCCGCGATTCTTCTTCTTGGGCTTCGACTTCTTTCCTTTTTTGCCCTTGAAGCCCTTTCCTTTTCCTCTCCCCTTCCCCTTCGCGGGAGGGGAGTCCGGCTCCGGCGCACACTGGGCGGACTCCTGGGTGGCGTTCTGGGCCTCCGGCTGCTTGGCGCCGCCTTTGGATGCAGCTCCTCCTGGCTTGGCGTGGGAGAAGTATCACGTCTCCTTCTCCTTGACCGTCCACGACGTCTCTTGCGTCTCGAGCTGTCTTCCCTGTAACCCCCCCGCCGCTGCCGGGGCCTCCTCGTTCTCCTCAGTCTCAGGCTCCGGCCGTGAACCAGCCGAAGTAGCTCCTTCGCCTTCAACTTCTTCAGATGCAGTGGATCGGGGGGTAACCACGCCGGGGGGAATCTGCCTCCTCCTCTTCTTTCACTCCCGTCCGTCCAGGAGCTTCTTTCTTCTGAGCTGGATCACCGCGTCCTCCACCTTCTCCAACCGGCCCTGCGGCCGGAGTGGGAGGTGGTGGGCCTCCGGGCCTCTCCTCCCCAACACGCTCAGCCCCTCCTGCTCTGGTGGCTGAGCTGCCCCACAGCTGGGTGTACAGGCCCTCGAAACAAGGTCGTGAACTGTCCCGCAACACCTGAGTACTATCGGCTCCAAATACCAGGGTGGTCACCTTCTGGAACGTGCAGCACAACGGGCAGCTGCAGTCCGCAGGTGGATGTGGCCCCCCGTCTCCAGGGGGGCCACCTGGCATAGCTGAAGCCAAACACACTGCGGATGAAAGAGAATTCAGGTCCGTTTCGTTTTTACATCCGCTTACGTGACCCATATATTGCTTTTTCGAAGCCTTTGCAGAATATCGCACACTCGGTTCTTATTCTTGCGGGCCTTTTATGGGGCTACCTTGGCCATGGCTGCAAATCGAATGTGATATGTTTTAGTGGATTCCGAAAAACAACGTTAGACCCGAAAGGAGGTTCGTTGTTGTGGCTTTAGGACCTGACATCAATGTCAAGCTCAGTGGACCAGCGCGTCGACCATGGACATTCTCGAGAGCCCATGAGTGAAGCTGCATCGCTTCCACGGTTACAAGTAGCACCAAGGAGGCAGTATGGGCGGCAGCCCGACTATTGTGGCTTTATAGCAACCCATGTCAAAAGAAAACTATGGACTATGGCTGCTTGAGTGAGAACCCTAAACCTTCCAAAATGTCAACCTAGAGCCGTCGGGGGTTACCAGTCTTAAGCCTCTGCACGTGGTAATCCTAGCTTGACATACTGTTGATGGACAAAATCCTGAACCGCTTTGCACACAGCTTTCTTGCTGCCCTCGTTCTCCGCCTTTAACGTTGGGACCACCACAGTGAGAAAAACAAAAGTCCTAAATCCTGCGCCACCTCCTCAGAGGCGTCGCGCCAACATTGAATGAGGGGGCGGAGGGTTGCTACGTGACCCTTTCAGGGTAAAGTGGGGAGGTGGTGCAGGATTTTGTTCATCAACAGTATGTTAGACTGAGGGCGAAGTTTCCTAGGCTTCCCCAGAAGCATGTTGCAAAAGTTGCAGAATCAGTGGTCTTGGATTCATTCTCCGGAGCTGCTAGTGAAGCTGCCTCAAAGCAGAAGCGCGAGGCCCTCATTCCGCTCTCGCCTGGCCACCAAATTGTCGCATGGGTCGGGGGGACAAAATCATCCTGCTACTTAAGGAGGATCCTACTCCCCTACTACACACAGACCTCTAGAAAACTATCTTGTGGTGTGCAAGTGGTCTGAAAACGCAAGCTGCGCAGCTCCTTTCCCAGACCCCGCCTGGAACCTTGCCTAGTCTTTTCGCCTGACAGAAGCCGCGCCTTTGGAAGTACATGGCTAAGACTGCTTGCAAAAACGCGAGGATTTCCCGTGAGTATACATGGAAGAAGGTGTTCTAAGCGCATACCAGGTACCGAATGATTTTCTTCATGAGTTACAGTAATTCTGTCACATGTGGAACTATATAACTGCAAAGCAAAACTGGGATTGTGGTGGAGCAAAAAGGACATGTGACACAAGGACATAAAGGCAGGGTCACCACAATTTGTGGGTTTGGCTGGCATCCTTCATCCGAAAGCTTCCGAACATGCAATCTGACCAAGCACCTGGACTTCTCAAGGCTGTGCAGTCAGAAACCGACCACGCCAGACTGGTGGCAAACCATGATTTCAAGGAGGCTTTCCTGCCTGCAGAATGTTCCGAGGATTTCTCCTACAAACGCCGAAAACTCCAGACGTTCACCCAGCGCTATCCCTCCAAAGTGAGTGGAATCCATGGATTGGAATGGATTACAAAGATTCTTTTTCTGGGAACCTCTATCCAAAGGCGGCCCAGGGAGCACCCTGCCTCGGCTCTTTGGACCCTACTCGAAAAGGACGGGGTTGGCGCCGACGACCTCGAGGGTGGCTGACGTGCGTGGCTCAAGGAATGCTGAAATGGTGAGAAGTCCAGCGGAGTGATCTTGGAATGCACAAGAAATTGGCCAACAGATTTCGCAGATGTATGATGATGTATGAATGTTCTCGTGGAAATTGACCATCTTCCAAATCTAGATGTTGGAACCTCTGAGTCGATCTTGAAATCGATGTGTGCAGTCGGGGAAGGTGAGTCCACCAGAAAGCAAACCAGTAAACAGGGAACTGGCCAAGTGCATACTTTGTTTAAAAGGCACTACGCAGCAAAGATGTTCTTCTAACCTCGGAAACTCTCTTTGTCTGGGTCTGGGGCCACCACTCCCGAACCTGCAGCTCAAGGAGTTTTGTATTAAATCTGAAAATTGGAGCGCTCGCTGCCCTGTGAGCAAGCAAAAATGATGTTTTGAGTGTTAAGTTTTTCTGTAACAAGAAGCTAGTAGTAACAAGTGCATCGCTTCTAGTAACAGGTGCCTTACTAGTAGTAACAAGAAGCTGTTAGAAACAAGTGCCTTACTACTAGGAGCAAGAAGCTACTAGGGGCTCCTGGCCTTACTAGTAGTAACAAGAAGCTTGTTCAGAGTGTTCCAAGTTCCACCGCACCGAGACAAAGGCATGCTGGGAGGGCCTCAGACCCGAACAAAAGGCCGGGTCACTGGTTGCTTGGTGAAGAAACTTCTCGGGCGGGTTGGATGGAATGCAGATGATCCTGCGGGCATAGAAATGCCTTTTGACATCCCGTGTTTTCGAAAGGACGAAACGCGATGAACATTCCGCGTCGTTCAACGTTTGGCTCAAGAAAGAGGCGCTTGCATGTGCGCTTCGTTTTTTCATTTGCCCGCTCACAGGTTATGAGCCCAACAAGTGCGCCATGGCATTGTCGACAATGAGAAGGAGAAGAACAGAAGCGGCAAGGCGAGAGGATGAAACCCTGGAAATCGGGGCGGCAGACAGAAAACTCGATGCCTTGATCGAAGAAGAGGTGCGACGAACGAGGTCGGCTGACGCGGGTCCGAGAAGATCTGTGGCAGAGGCAAGTACACCCCAAAGCCGACCAAAGGCCCTTCGACCAAGCTCATTACAGGAATCAAGAGAGCGGACTGCAGCTGTTGGGGGAGAGCCGACGGATCCCTCATCTCTGAAGTCTATGAAGCCGGTGGATCCGGCTAGGCCGCTGTCGGTGGACCCTGGGCTGATCTTCCTCGTGGGGGCTTGGGGGCACTTCATGATGCGGTTCAACAAACTTACCATGTATTACGGCAAGCACTAGGTCAGCAACATCAAGGGCAAGGGCTATCAGGACCTCTTGGACCTCCCATCGATCAACCTGTTCATGGACGGTTGTTTGGAGATGGCCGGACACAGGTTGACCCTCGAACGCTGGACTATGGTTCCGGGGGAGCTCAAACCCCGGTGCGACCTCAGGAGCCTAACCCTTTTTGGAGCCCAGCTTTGCAGGACACGATGAGGAGGGCATCTTCGGGCTTGGGTGGAGAGCTATCTGGAGGAGCTGATTCTCGACGCCTTCAAGTATCAGGTGGTGAACCTGTGCCGCGGGTCATAGCTGATGGGAATGCTATGCCGGCAGCTGCTTCGGGATCGCCGGTGCGTGATGATGTGGAAGCCCTGAGAGTTCGCATCCTCAAGGAGGCGGAGGAGAACTTCGATCGGGAGGTCAAACGTCTCTTGGCTGCTAAGGAACCTGCAGACACGACCTCCTACAAGACTGCATCAAGTGGGCCTCAGACAGGGGTGGACTCGGAGACCTGTGTTGGACCTGAACGACCGCCTGGACTTCATCATGGTGACCTGGGTGGTAAGGACCGAGGACCCGATCTGGGTTCGAAGGTCGTTCGTGTTGGTGGTGCAGCGACTCCGGCAGCAATGGCTGAAGCCCTGAGGAACTTGGAACTTCCTCCCTTGCCATCACCCAACTCCGAGGGGGCATCTATCCTGTTTGGAGACTGGCTGACGATGAGCTTCCCGCTGATGGCTGACATCTCAAATAGTGCCAAGGCCTGGTGGGAGGAATCGCTGACCATTGCGCAGGACCACTATGCTCGCTGGTTGACGATGAGTCCATTGGAGCGCCTGAGAGCGAAGCCGGTGGTGGTGGTGGAACCTGCCCCACAGAGGATTGAACAACGTGGCATCGCAATGTTGCTAGGGGCATTGCCGGATCAGCTTCGACGTGACCTCGTCAGTGGACGGCAGCTCTCGGTCGTCTACATCTTGTACAAGCTACATGTGACGTACCAGCCAGGGGGAGGCGCTGAAAAAACGCAACTCCTCAAAAATTTAGTGGAGACGAAGTTTGCCACTCAAACATCGGAGTTGTTGGCGCAGGTCCGGTTGTGGCGACGATGGCTTGCACGTGCACAAGAGCTCAACCTCGCTCTACCTGACCCTGTGGTTCTCATGGTCACTGTGCAACGCATGATTGAGAGCGCCACCAAATCAGGCGGAGCTCAAATGGCATTTCGAATTGCCAACGTGCGGCAAGAATTGAGAGTTGATTACGCAGCTACAGTGGAAGCTGTCATGGAGCTCTCGGAGTATGTGCAGGCGGAGGTGGAAGAAGTTTCGCTGACTACACCCATGAAGTTGCAGCCGGCGACCACCAATGCTGGAGCAGCAGGAACTCAGCCGACCACGTCTGTGAAGGCCATGGCATCAGCGTTCGGGGCGGTGGACTCCGATGATCGACCTTCGCAGAAACTGGCCTGCAAGCTCTGGAAGAGTGATGAGGGTTGTAAGTGTGGCAGCAGTTGCACCTACGCCCATGACAATGTGGACATGAAGGGTCGTTGCTTCAATTGTGGGGGGCTTCACATGAAGAAGGACTGTCCAAATGGGCCGAAGGGTGCGAAGCCGGACGCCAAGAAGGTCTCCAAGGTGAAGACTGTGAAGGAAGGGGAGAAGGTGAATGGGGGTGAGAAGAATGTCAAGGGAGGCTCTCCTGGTGATGAACCAGCTGACGAGAATGTGAATGTCCCTCTGACTGCTGTGCCCAAGCGACTTGACTCCCCGGAGAAGCCTGTGGCAAAGGACGCAACCGCTGAGCTGTTGTCGGAGGCCACGTCATTGCTCAAGACACTGAGGAGCATGAAGATGCTGCGGGTGAAAGAGCTCAAGCACAAGGTTGGCGCTGATGAGGAGGCGGTGGGTCTCCTGGACGGAGGCGCAACAAATGGGCTCAGAGAAGCCTATCCACATGAGATGCCGCACCTGGTCCCCGTTCGGGTAGAATTGGCTTCAGGATCGGCCACCTTGTACAAGGTCGACGAGCATCGAACTCTGTTGTCAAAGGAAAAGGTGGAGGTGATCGTTCCGCTACATCGACTGGTGGGATTGGGATATCGGCTGAACTGGTCAAAGGGAGGTGTCAAGATCTCTCATCCCGAACATGGCCGCATTGAGTGCACCCTGAGAGGTGGATGTCCAGTCCTACCTGAACGTCAGGCCCTCGCATTGCTGGAGGTGATGGAGAAGGCTGATCGGGGGGAGCTGATGATTGATGAAGAAATCAAGTCCTGGTGGACTGAGAGGTTTCCCGATGTTCCTGAAGAAACTTGGGAACTATATGAAGGGCAGACCTCATTCGACCCCAATGTTTGTCCGTGGAATCGGCGCCAGAGGAGGAGGCATGAGAGGTCGAAGGGGATCATCTTGCACCTCTACAGCGGAAAGGACTCCCGGTCTTGGCTCAACATGGACTGGCATGGCTATGAGGTCATCAACGTGGACATCGTCAACGGAGCACAATACGATATGCACTCCATTGGCACCTGGAGCTACCTCTGTCATCTCGCACGAAGAGGAAAGGTGGTAGCTGTGCTCGGAGGACCCCCTGCCGGAGTGTGTCACGACTACGTCATCGAGGCCCAGGACCACGCCCAGTGAGAGGGAGGGATGAACGACGATTTGGTCTACCTGGTCTTTCGTCCGTGGAGAGGGACCTGGTTGCCGGCGACCTGGCACTGCTGTTGAAACAGGCAGGACTCTGGATCATGGCTAGCGAGGCGAGGAACCATGTGAGGAACACAGAGAACACCTGCTATGTGCCGCCGGCCTTTCTGATGGAATCACCTCGTGACCCTGTCTCCTACATGCAGCAGGAGGCACTGGAGCAGGACATGGCATCGTACTGGAACTTCCGTGAGGCGAATGACCTAGCACAACTCATGAAAGCCAGCTTTGTCACCCTGGATCAAGGACCAATTGGTCATATCAAGCGGAAGCCTACAACATTGACGGTGGCCAACTTGCCGGATATGCTCGAGCTTCAAGGATGGCACTGGTCAGGAAGTTGCGGGTTCACTTCAAGGACGACTCATCCAATCAAGAGGATGGTCGGCGTGGGCCCCCGGGCTGGTAGCTGCTATTCAAGAGAGTTTGAAGAGATATGTGCAGCGACTGGATGCTCAAGGAGGTGGTCCACAAGATCGAGAAGCAGCAGTATGCCGCTTGGACATGGAAGGATGGAAGGCTCATGTGAGGAACCAGCATCAGCCTTTTCGCAGGGACTGCCGCCGATGCATGGAGATGATGGGCTCCGACGTTCCACATCGACGAACTATGGGGGACAGGGCAGCTCACTGCTTATCGTATGACATCGTGGGGCCAATGCCGGTTGGAGATGATCTGGGCCTTGGTTCGAAGGCCAAGTACATGATGGTGGCGACTGTGGCCATTCCACGATTGCCTCGAGAGCATGAAGAGCTCAAGGAGATGGAAGAATTGGATGGGGAGGAGGGTGAACTGCTTCCCATTGGAGATGGAGAAGGTGCACAGGAAGATGATGATCCGGAGCAGGCGGAGGTGGAGGATCTCAACGCTGCCTGGAAGGAACACATCAGGGACCTGAGCGCACCAGTTGGAGTTCAGAATGCCACCGTGGTGGAGCCGCTTGAGAGCCGGTCACAGGTTGATGTCACCAAGGTGGCAACTCGCATCTACTGCCGCTTCAAGGCGATGGGCATGAAGATGCTTAGAGTTCATACAGACAGAGAGTGTGCTTTCCTGTCCAGGAGTTTCCAAGCATTCTGCCGACGCTTTGGAATGCACCAAACTATGACAGGAGGAGATGAAGGACCTTCAAATGGCCGCATCGAGGCGGAGGTGCACCAGGTGAAGAGAAGACTCAGGTTGCTCATCAAGGAAAGTGGCCTGGAAGAGAGGTGGTGGCCGGGCATCGCACGCTATGTTGGAGAGGAGAGGCTGAGGCGCCAATGTGCTCACCTCGGTGTTCCTAGTGCCCCGTTGCTGCCGATTGGGGGGAGGGTTACAGTGAAGACCAAACGCTGGCATAGAGCAGGGTTTGGACCTTTGACACCGCCCTTCCGCACTATGACTTTGATGGGTCCCTCGCCGTTTATGTCTCAGGGCTATGTGCGTTTTGACAGCGGCCATGTGCAACATGCTCGGGTAGCGGTCCAGACTGATCCAACTGCTGAACGGGCTGTCCTTGAACTGCAAGCTGTCCAGGATCCAGAACGACCTCAGAAACGAGTGGTGGGTAAGCAGCCATTGGAACCGATGCTTCCTCAACTTCCCCCACCGCGGCTCTCTGATGATCCTGGACTATGCACCGTCCGGTGCAACTCAGCTGGAGAGCCAGTCCTACATCAAGGTCGGACTGGGGGGAGTCTTTGCAGCTTTCTATGCCACCAGGGGCACATGTGAAGGTCAATGGTGGAGGAAAGGCATTGGTTTGCAAGGAGTGTGGACTGCAAATGGCGCAGCCGTCGTTCAAACGCCTTGAACTCCCCCGACAATGTGGATTCTGTGAGACTCCAATGGATGAACCTGGTGAGCCACCAATATGGATGGGACCATGGACTCAAAGGTTGGAAGAAGAGCATTGGGGCTGGAAACAGCTCTGGTGTGACATGTTGAAGGAGGTGGCGGTTGGCGATGTGGAGGGTCAACTGGAAGGAGCTATGATGGACTACTTGGAAAAGAATGTCCAGGCCTTGGAGGAGGACCTCACGGAGATTCGAGATTGTGCTGTGACTCACCAGTTGGCTTCGATGACCGCTGGACAGCACTTGGAGGAGAAGGAGGGGTCGGATGATCGTCTGGGGGTGCATGCTGTCCTTCAGACGTATACTGTCCCACTCGCACAAGTTCGACGAGAACTGAAAGACTGGATCCCGTCGCTCGAGTATGAGGTGAACTCTCTTGAGAAGACCACCAGGGCAGTGCGCCCTATATCCAGGTTCAAGACCTTAAGGAGGAGCCGGGCTACAACGAGATGCTGGTGGTCCCCTCCAAATTGGTTCCCACAATGAAGGCACCGGATGGAAAGAAACGATCTCGCATAGTTCTATGTGGGAACCTTGTTGAAGACACATCAGCTCGCCTCCGGGCTCATCCCCGTGGTCATGATGCTGGTGGTGGCGATAGTGGAGTGAAGCAGCCTGGAAAATCCTTTGAGCTGTATGCAAGTGGCATTGATGGAAGTTCATTGCGGTGTGCACTCCGCAAGGCAGCTCAGGAGCAGTGGTCGATAGGCATCACTGACGTGTCCTCGGCTTTCCTCCTGGCACCGAGAAAGTCCTCACGTCTCATGGTCACCAAGCCCCCATCCATCCTGACTGAAGCAGGAATCCTCTCCAAGGACACCCGGTGGATCGTGGAAGCTGCTGTCTATGGTTTGGACAGTTCTCCGGCTGACTGGCAGTCCTATCGTGACGAAGTGCTCCGAGGAATGAGGTGGTGGGAGAGCGGCAGGCATTATTGGATTCATGCCACACCAGAGCCTAATGTCTGGAGGTTGATGTCTGCTGATGGTGAGGAGACGGACTATGTGAATGTCATGGAGGAGGGCAAGGCGGTGGGATTCGCCTTATCCTATGTGGATGATTTCATCGCGATGGGTGATCGACCGGTGGCACAAGCGTTTTTGTCCAAGCTGGCAGCTACCTGGAAGTGTGCTCCTCCTACCTGGGTGGTGGAATCGGAATGGCGAAAATTTTGTGGAGTGGAGATGAAGTGGGACAGCAGCAGCTTGCTCATTGGCCAGCCTGACTATGCTCGGGAGATAGTCGCTCGCCACTCGGATGTCCCGTTGAGGAGCTCTCCACTTCTGAAGGTGATTGAGTTGGACATGGAGGAAACCATCAACCCGGAGGATGTGAAGCGCTGCCAAACTGTGATCGGAGAACTGTTATGGCTTTCTACCAGGACAAGGCCGGACTTGAGCTTCGCCGTGTCGTAAGGGGGGTGTTGATCCTTGCTGATCATGTGTTGGGCTATGTGGCATCAACCCTGGACTTCGCCCTGGAGTATGGTCCATGCCCGGACTACTGTGACCAGTATGGACGGGTGCACAATTTGAACCGTTTGGAAGTGTTGACCGATTCATCTTTTGCTCCTACTGGTGGCAGGGGTCACCAGGGAATCATGGCTATGTGGGGAGGGTGCTTGGTGGCTTGGGAGTCAAAGGCTCAGGCATTTGCAACCCTCAGCACCACAGAGAGTGAGTTGCTTGGCTACATTGATGGCCTCACCTTGGGGGAAAGCGTTGGAGCAGTTGCGAACGTCTTGCAGGAGAACATCCTGGACCGTGAAGGTTCGTACGTCCTGAGAGGAGATAATCTCTCGGGCTTGCAGCTACTTCAGGCACCGTCAGGTCCGTGGCGCACCCGGCATCTTCGGCTGAGAAGTCATGTTCTTCGTGAGCGCCTCAAGCACCACCTCTGGAGTGTGGAGCATGTGCCTGGCACGGAGTTGTGCGCCGATCTTTTGACCAAGTCCATCACACAGTCTCTATCGTGGGACGCCTTCCGTCGTTCAGTTGGTCTTCGTGCTGCTGAAACATCTGTCTCCAATGAGGTGGGCACGTCGAGGGCCAAGAAGGTAGCTTGCGCTGCGATGGCATCATTGGGCCTGCTGGCAGCTGTGCCTGGTTTGGGGGGGAGCAGTGAAGTTGGCCTCGCTCCTGGGTTTGGCAGCAGCTGCAACCGTAGCTTTGAATGCATTCACGACGGCGACAGGCCAGTCGAACAAGAGGTCTAACGCATCCCATGTCAAGAAACTGTCAAGATGGGTGAGGGAAGATGAACCCACCCCAAGTAGGACTGAGAAGGTCAAGAAAGATTCAAGATGGCTGAGGGAAGATGAACCCAGCCCGGCCCACGTAGGGGTCGACAGCCGACGACCGTTGCCACCTTGGCACCCCGGCCGATGGATCGACCTTGAAGCCATGGAACCAAGCTCCGCGGCTCTGCGCCATGAAGGCGCCAATTGCACACCGAGGATTGGGCACAGACACGCCATGGGTCCTCGGGAGGTTCGCGACACCTCCTACTGGAGCAGACCGGTGGGAATGCCTGGGATCAGGCGATGGTGCTGGAGAATGGTGGGTCCGTGTTCTCAAGAAAAGCAGGGTGAGATCATTCCACCCACTACACCGTGGCACCCCTTTTCAGATTTCGAGGATGTCACCTACCAGAGTGACGGTTGCATTTCATCGAGGCTCCACTCGAGAAGCCTGGCGAAGGCAAGTCCTGACGGACGATTGGACCACATCGAGGAACTGTGACATTGAGGGCTATGAGTGGATAGGGTATGCTTTTTTCTATGTCCGCTTCGTGGGCGCTATGGAAGGGGTTCAACTTGATCCCAATTGTGGATTGGCTCCAGGACCGCAGCCTCCTCCGGGAACCATTGCACAGGCCGATCGGGGCTATGGGAACACATCGTCAACTCGGTCCCGTGCTTTGGAACGGGGAAGGAGTGTGGAGCTGCCTGTGGGAGAGAAGACAGTGAGGGGGTCCACAGTGGCCTATGATGGATCTGCAATCACTGCTTGTGGCACTGCCTCCTCCGATGGTGTCCCCAGCGCCGGCTATGCAGAGCAGCTTCAGGGACATCGAGCTCGAGGTGAGGCCCCCATGGATGAAGTGGAGAAGGCTTGGGAGCATTCTCTTCGCACCGAAGGACTCCATCCTGCTGAAGCCGACACTTGGCCTGACTGGATGGGAATTTCAACTTCTGTGGGTCAAAGACCCACCACACCTGCTGTGAAGCTGGAAGAAGACTCCCAGTCAGATGGTAGTTTTGAGAAGTTGGCATGAACAGTGCCCTGAGGAATGATGGTCAACCATCATTGGGGGAGTGCGGGCATAGAAATGCCTTTTGACATCCCGTGTTTTCGAAAGGACGAAACGCGATGAACATTCCGCGTCGTTCAACGTTTGGCTCAAGAAAGAGGCGCTTGCATGTGCGCTTCGTTTTTTCATTTGCCCGCTCACAGATCCAATATCCTAGGATACAGGATGGCAGTACCCATGCCCAGCGTCATGAAGAGTGTCTTGAAACAGCTAGGACAAATCACATGATCTGATCACATCAGCAATTGCGACCTGGTCGGTTGTGGAATACGGCCAGGTCTCAAATCATATTGTCTAGACTCAATCAAATCGAAGACGGTGCAGTCAGCTCAAAGTCAGCATTTCGTCAGCAATTCGACACACCGCCTTTCCCTTGGCTGTTCAAAACCAGTGTCGGACTTGTAGACGATTTTGTAAGTGGCTTGTCATTCTGGTACTGGTACCCACTCAAAACTCAGTTTCGTGTTTGGATGTCTCCTCAACTGAGCGGACTGTGTCTGGAGTGCATTTTCCTTACGAACCTTCGCTGCCTGTCGCCTGCTTCTCTGTTGCACTTCCAGGCTGCCCGGCCACATGGTGCTGCTCCCAGGCCCAACGCGCACTCGACCGCGCTTTGACGGCAGGCGCACATTCACAGCCAACGCTCCACGAAGCAGGCGTGATCCACGTAGCAGACAGGAGGTGTCGAGGATAATCAATTTAAAGCAGGAGTCCCTTGAAGAGGTAGCATTGTTCATGCTGAATTGATCGGTTCAACTGCATCTTTTGGGAGAAGGGGTTTTCTGCTCTCGATACGCTAGCGGCTAGGTCCCAGGTGGTGATGTTCTAAGAATCGACCCATCAGGTGCCCAACTTATTCCCATCTTGACAAACTTACTTTCTATTAGGAACAAGAACGCTAGTGGTAACAAGTGCATCGCTTCTAGGAACAAGTGCCTTACTAGTAGTAAC